CCCCAAAACCCCAAAACCCCAAAACCCCTAGAGTTCAATTATAGAGTAAGAATATGTTTCTAGATAAAAAGGGAATTTATAAATGCATTCTAGTTTAAATATTTATATATTCCTAGTATCTTAAATAGAATCAATCATTAATAATTCAAACAAAATATGCAGTTGAACTCAAATCAGCTACTATAAACTATAGACACATAACTATAGACTTAACAAATGATCTTTAATTCATTGTCTGCCTTCGGGGATCCAGGAGGTAGTGAATAGGAGCAATAATTAGCTCTCAATCAGTAATTGCTTCAAAGCAGAATAATGAGAAAGGAATCTAGTAACAACCACATTAGTCTTGGAACTCCTCAGATCATTCATCCGCATAATCTCGTGTTGCATATTCAGCAATAACCTTCTGCTTAGATTTTATATGATCAAGCAAATTAGAGCCAAGCTCTTCTTGCTTAAGCTACACTGTTTCAATAACTTACTCAAAATCAGCCTGTGTTCTATGAACATGATACGAACGGCACCCTAAATAATCTAATGGTGCCTTAGTCAAATTAGTAAACTCAGCCGTAGGTCCTACTTGAACCTTTTGCCACTCATTTCATTTAGTAATACAGTATGTCAGATATCAATAGTTTATCTGTAAGCAATAAAAACTCTTTCCATACCGATGACTCTCAGAATCCTTGCGGTGCTTCATTGAATAATTAGTAGCAAGATCAGCAAAAAGAAACAGTGCAATTCACCAGGTAATCTACTCATACTACCATAAGAAACAGCAAAAACTAGAATATAGTCAATAATGGATTGAAATCTTTAAAGTTGAATGATATTGAGCAGGATGAAGAGATTGAGCTTAATGAAGAGCCTTATGATACAATTAAGATAATTAAGTTAGATTATGATCAGATATCAGAATTTAATTGTTCCTCTGTCCAAATAATCGATAAAAATAAGTAAAATGATCAATAAAATCCTGACCAAAGCCTTAAAGCTGATTTAAAAGAAAAATTGAATGATGAGGATGAAAAATTGAACTAAAGTGAGGATAGCAGTCAGATTTTGAACGTATCTCTTTAAAGTTATCTCTTATCTAACTCAACTTCTCCTTTTATTCCAGAAAATAATAATTCAAAGTAAGCCTAATCTCAGTTAAAATAGGAGACTCAGTATCAAACTTTAGCTATTGGCTAATCAATTTGGAGCCCATAACCAATTACATCAACATAACTATCATCCACAAGCCTTGTCTAAAAGGTTAATAGTCAAAGTCAAGCAGCTGAATACTAAGTTTAATAAACATAATAGAGTTAAGAGAACCAGATATAGCAACAATTCACAAATCAGCAAATTCCAATATAAATTTCTCAATAGCAACAACCGCAGTAATTAGTTCAAACCTAAAATCTGTAATCATCTCCGATTTAAACAATCCTGAATTAACAGTAAATCCTCCTTAACTAGGGTAAGTCTAAAGAATTCTTTGAATAAAGCTAACTTCAACTATCTTAGCATCCATAAATTATAGCATAATAGCTAATAAATCAAGTATAACAGTAATCTCAAAATTCATAAGTTATTCAAGTTCCCTAAAATCAATAATAGATTATTAACCAACCACTAATTCTTCCTCCTAATACAATTGCATAGCAAAATATCTAAAGCCTCTAGCATCAGCAAATGCACATATAGTAATTGATAAACTAAACATAGTCTCAGATACAATTAGTGCAAAATTAGTAAGAAATTTAAACTCAACAGATAACTTAGAATGATTCAACATCAATACCATAATAGCATCAATAATAGTTTATCTAATAGTAGAGTCAAAATTAATAGCTTAATCAATAGCCTCATCTTCATCACCCTTCAGTTCTTTAAGATAGAATGATCAACCTAAGATAAGAGTAACTGCTAGAATATGATCATAATGTTGACTTAATCAATCCTAATCTAATTAATTAGCATCCAAACAATATGAGTCCAACTGGTAGCATTGATCCAAATCTTGAGTAAAATAGCCAACTACTTCATATGTGTGGAAACAGATTCTACAAATAACATTATATCTTGAGACAGATCAACAGACATTTACTGAATCCTATCTATAAAGTTAAAAACCATAAGTTAGAAACTCAAAATTCATTTCATATGAATACTTCATAAAGTCCCCACCTATATTTTCCTGGTAACTTTAGCGGTTTAAAGCCACCTCCAGGTTTATCACACATTGACCCATTGCATTTGAGTGAAAGCCAAATTAGTAAGTATCTCATGGAATAAAGGTAGCTAGAAAACTAGATGATCTTGAATGGAATAGATCCATATTAAATTCATGCATAGAATTCTCATGATAAGCAATTCGAACTTGCTTAACCTATACCCAAAGCTCCTACATAACAGCTCTAAATGATGAACATGCATTAATAATTACCTCATCAATAAATTTCAAGGCATTAAGATTGGTAATACAGACAATACCATGCTTTCCTTTAACATTAGCATTAAATTTAGTTATAGTAATAAGAGTAGCTGATATAGTAATAATTAATGTAATAACAACAGAAATAATTCTAATAGTAGCAGCAACAGTAATAACAGTAGCAGCAAACTTAAAGGAGTCCTTAGATTAATGGTGATATAAGTAGCAATAGATTAACTGAAGAAATGATTGAGACTTTGAGGATTTAGTCTTAAAATGAAACAGCAGTACAGTAGCAACCTTAATAATTGAAAGAAATGCCCAAGTCCTCTAGCAAGAGTGAGGATAGTTAATACGACCACTAATTTTCGGCTTACTCTAGTTTTTTTCAGGAGTAATTTTAAAAGGTAAGAAACAATATCATTTTATATTGGTTATAGAAAAAAAGCGCATTGGATGAATAATTGAGAAGAACCACTTAATAGCTAGAGAAAAAACTGATAGAAAACTTAGAGATTTAAAAAATTTGGGACACTAAGACTCATATAAATCCAGGGGAGACTGATCAAGATGAAGAAGAGGAAGATGAAGAAGATATCGATGCCTTGAGTCTAAAATCTGATACTTAATCAGCCAACAATGAAGGAATTTAAGATGAGTTACTGTCAAATGAAATGCAGAAAAATAAAAAAAATGGTTTGATTAATGAAAATGATGATTATTACAACTCCTTAATAGATTAACAATATAGCCTGGTTAGTAAGCATCCTAGACATTCAGGTCATTCTGTCAACAATGTAAATTAACAATTCAAGGAGTAAATGCTAAAATAAAAGACTGAGTTGTTCTAAAAATTATAGGAATAGTTGAACTAACTAAAGAATGAGATTTTCTCACAAAATGAATAAGAATTTAACTCAGCAAGCCCATTTAAATAAGATCCTTGCAGTTATTTAGAAAAAATTCTTAATTTAATGACTATATGCAATGAAGTTGATTAAACCTCAAATATAGACAAAATAAAGAAGCTAATAAGCAAATATGATAAGACGAAATTGACACTAAGAGAAGTTAAGGAATAGAGGATTAAGTTTTTCGAGAATTTAAGTGCTGTCAATATGTAGCTTCATGATCTTGAATGCAACTATTATAATCTAATTGATGAGAACAATAACTTAAGAGACAAATAGTCATAGGAGATTGAAAGATTGGAATTCATAATTAAATCTACTTATGAGAATATAAAAGATTTAACTGGAGACAATACTTCAGCTGATACCGATTAATATGAAGAGTTATTCTTGAAGTTGTCATAGTAAGAATAAAAATAAGAAGATAACAGCAACCAATCTGCTTAAAACTAATAGTAGCAGCTTAAATAACAAATAGTTAGCTCAGATGTTTAAGATATAGCTTAGGCTGTGCCTTAAGCACTGCAATCGCCATTGCAAGGACAAAATTAACTAAATCAATAGTAACTCAACTCTCAGCCTTAATTTAGATAAAGAAAAGAGACAAATTCTTTTCTAAATTTAAACAAGAATGCCCAAGGAGAGGATACAACTGAGTATTAATATTAGTAAGATTGCTATAAGAAAATAACAGAACAATAAGTTGAGATAGATGACTTACGAGAATATATAAAAAAGAGATCATAAGAGGAAAACAAAAAGAGAATGGAGGATAAGCACAAAGCTGACTAAGAGATAGTAGACTTAAAACAGCAAATTGACAAAATGAATAAAAGTCATGTCTAAGTAATGAAAGAGAAAGATATTGAGCTCAAAGCCATGCAAGATCATATTTTAAGGATAGACTGTGATTACCTTAGCAAGAATTAATTCAACGGAGGAGACAAGATTAAAGAGTGTTCAGACTGCAAAAAGAAGGATTCTAAAGTAAATGATCTAGAAAAAAGGATAGTCGATCTTACAGAATATATCAAGAAAAATAAAGAGAGGATTCCATCAGGAGCTGTCGGATCAGCAGAGATCAACAAGGATGCTAAGATTTTTATTCCTTAGAGCAGAATGAATCAATAGAACAACAATAGTACTATAGAAAATCTTAGGCCTTAGACTTAAAATCAGTTCAATCCTCAAGAGATTTAAACTAATGCTGCTCCACTACCTTAGTATATGGCAATTACCATTGACTTACTAAGTAAATTTGAAAGACTTATAGACTATTTTGTTGCTAAGGATGAGTAGTTATAACCATCTCTCTAGGAATCAAAGATAAATATCCAACAAATGAAATCACTTCTTCGATTTTCAAATTAATCAAAAATAATTTCAAGGCATTAAAGAGTACTTTCACAAGGAAAAGTATTAGAAGAGATCAAAGAAGAGTTCAATGAAGATGAGTAGGATAATCTGAGCTTGATCAAACTTTAACCTACAAATCAGCAATATGTGTTCATTAAAGACTCATTCAAGGAGCTAGTTGCTTATTTCTAAAGTCAACTGAACATAATGCTTTCATCTAATTAGAATGATCAAACAAATAATCTGCAATAAAATCAAAACAAAAAATCAGCCACTTCGGCAGAAACAACAGAGTAAAAGATTAAAGAGTTAGATTATTTAAGCAAAGTAGATGTATAAGGCTTGATCCAGACTCATTACAAAGAATTATCAAAAGAAGGTAGAATTGAGAGAAAGAGTGTGCATTAGGTCATAGTAGATGTTGAGAAATTCATGTACTAAATGAACTCACTGTTTGTCACAGAGTAAATGAATCTTGAATCATTCAAAAATATGACTGATGAGCAGAAGATAATGAGCCTTAAGCAATAGCCGTAGATTCATTTAGATTAAAGACTTTCCCTAAATGATAAATAAAGAGAACTGTTCTCAATAATACTTGAGACCTATCTCTAACTACCATTAAAATTGAAGCCTATATTTGACAAGATGAAAAATTTCGAGACACTAATGAGCAAATTCTATAAATCCGATACCAGCCTAATTTAAGATCTTGTTTAATCATTCGTAGTGCAATATGAAGCAAAGAAGGCTGATCTTATTCAAGAATAGAGCGTAATTCAAAAATAAAACGAAGATAACTAAAACTTGATAAACTAGATGAAAGAAGAGAGTGAGTAACTTAAGCAAAAAATAGTCCAGCTTAGCGAAAAAATTGTTTAAATAAATTCTGCTTATAATGCTTTATAAAAGCATATGAATTCCTTAAAGCCAACCTAGCAACCTTCTTAAACTACAAGTTAGCAATAATAGCAGCCAATTTAATAAGTTTAAGCTTAACCTTAAGCATAGCCTGAATAGAAAATAACCAGCACCTAACATTAATAGGCATTGAATTAGATTTAAAGCCTTTAACAATAGTTGTAACAACAAACTCAGTAATAGCAGTTACAATAAACTTAGGGGTAGTTAAACCAGCAGACTTAGTAGCAATAGCAATTTCCAACACAAATTAATTAAGCGATTCCTCAATAGATAGTCATTCCACAAATTTAAGTTCAATAGCAGTAGATAGCTTAGCCTCAAATAAATTAGTAATAATAGCAAATTTTATAGCAGCAGCTCTAATTATAATAGTAATATCAATAGTAGCAGCTATAAGCTTAGCCAATACAACATATGAGTATAGAGAATTTGAGATAATATACCTAGAGACAATAATAAATTTAGTAGCAAATCTTGCAACATTAAGTTGCATTATAATAAAATCGTTAAAATTAACAAGCAACTACTTAGCCTTAAAGCTATCTTCAGTAATAGCAACCATTCATTCCCTCGCATTTAGCAGGCTAGGTCAGTGTTAAGCAAGGAGGTTAATAGAAGATTAAAGATTAAGTCAAACAAACTTAACCTTAGGCATTTGGAATATTAGCATAAACTGCACAGGAGAATCATGGAAGAAAATAAAAGAAATCAAACTAAAATATAAACAAGCATTTATAATCTCATAACTACCAATGATATATTTTTTACGAATTTTAAAATCTAAACTTTATTTCATAACTTAAAATGATTCAAAAATTTATTACTATAATAAGATAAAGGGGTTTTGGGGTTTTGGGGTTTTGGGG